CCTAAAGATGTATGTTATATTTTAATAATTCTATAATTTTAGTTTTTATCTAATATTATCTTTTTTTTTATGATAAACTTATTTTATTTATGATTTAATAAAAATAATTATAAAATTTTGTATAATAGTAGTAATGAAAATAAAAATATGGCATCCTACTTTAGTTATGCTCGAAAGGTATGGGTGTAACCAAGAGTAGGGTGTTACATGAATTGATTTTGTTGAATCTCGCATTTTGATGATGAAATTAAATGACAAATTATTTGATCCAATCTATATGAGAAATGATTGTAGGATTACATACGATAGCGATCAAGGCATAAAGCAAAATGAAGTGCCGGATTAAAGATCGAGATTTCGTTGGGAGTTCACGATTTCGTCGAGAGTTTGGAGGTTTGTCAGAAATGCTATTGGAATAGACCGAGAAGAAGCTCATCAGAACTCGCCAAGAAGATCGTCGTGAAGCCTAGGAGCTTACCGAGAGTCCGTTAGAAGATTGTTAAGAGATCGTCGGAAGTCCATCGAAAGATCGTCGGATGCTCGCTGGAAGAAACCTAGACTTACTGAAGTTGTTTTGTTTAGTTTATGCCTTAAAAATCAAAGTTAGCACACAATTAGGATTAGGTTTGTGAGGTAATCTCATTAACCCTATTAAAGGGTCAACTGGGCTCGTAATTGGACTGGTTTGGATCGAATTCAAGGCCCAAATAGGTTGTTGAACCTTGTCAGGTAGTGGCACTGCCCAGGGTGGGCGATGGAACCACCTGAGGCTCAGCCTCCCAGGTGGTCTAGGTAGTGGTACCGCCGGCAGTTATTACTGCCAAGAAGTGGTATCGCTAGAGCCTAGTCTCTGAGGCTCTATCAGGCGGTAGTACCACTAGACTAGGTGGTGGTACCGCCCAGTATCAATGCTGCAAGTGGTGGTACCACCCAACACAGGCGGTGGTACCGCTAGTACCCCAGAAACTTAGGATGAGACACTTTCTGGCTCAAATTTTGAAGTCATTGGGGCCTATAAATACCCCACCCTTTCTACATAAAAGGGTAACAAAGTGCAATCAAAATGTGAAAAAAATCTTTAAGTGTTGTAAAAGTGCAAAAATTCCTCCTCTCTCTCTTTAGTTTTACAATCATCCAAGAAGAGGTGTGAGGCTTATAAGAGTTGTCTCCTAAACCCATGAAAAGGAGAAAGTGCTATAAAGAGATGGTTGGTCTTCGCCTATTGAAGGAAGACCATTAATAGATGCTGGTGACCTCAACGAAGGAGGAATCGAGAGTGGATGTAGGTCGGACGACTGAACTACTATAAAATTGGTATGTTCTTTTCTTGGTGCGTACTTTACTTTTGCTGCATTCCACTTTACTACTCACTTACAAACTTATTCAAGTCAAATGATATTTCAATATGGTTTTCATCGAACTAAAGTTTCATTGTACGAAGTTTTCCGAAAGCGATTAAATTTATCATTTTTATCTGCTACACTAATTCACCCCCCCCCCACTCTTAGTGTCGTTCTTAATCCTAACAATTGGTATCAAAGCGAGGTCACTCTTATTTTAGTTTGAAACCCAAGAGAGTTGTCATTTGTCAACAACCAAGAGGGTCATGCAATCACACGTCCACCCATGTTCAATGGGTCGGATTACATATATTGAAAAACTAGAATGAGAATTTTTCTAATTTCTATGGATTTTGAGTCATGAAATATTATAGAAAACGACTTTCAAAAGTCTTCTCTTCCAATAAAGGATTGGAATGAGTTAAAGAAGAAGACTTTCTTTTTAAATGTCAAGGCTATGAATGCCTTGTTTTGCACTTTAGATAAAAATGAGTTCAATCAAATGTATATTTGTGAAATGACTTTTGATATTTGGCATACACTCGAAATCACTCATGAAGGCACTAGTTTAGTAAAGGAGTCCAAAATAAATTTTTTAGTCCATTCTTATGAATTGTTCTAGATGAAACCAAGTGAGAGCATTGGAGATATGTACACCTGATTTATAAATGTCGTCAATTGTCTAAAAGCACTTAGTAAAAATTTTTCTAACTTTGAACTTGTTAATAAATATTGAGATCCCTTCCAAAGAGTTGGGACTCTAAAATAATAGTCATTCAAGAGGTCAAGGATTTAAATAATTTTTCTTTTGAAGAACTTATCGGGTCGTTAATGACCTATGAGATGACTTACAACACTCATAAAGAGTTTGAGAATAACCTTCCAAAGAATAGGAAGGATATGACACTAAGAACTCTTGAAGACCACTTGAAAGGAAGTTCAAGTGATAAGGACTATGATGATGACTTAGCACTCTTGACAAAAAAGTTTAAAAAATTCATAAAAAAAAAAAAATCTAAAAATAACACTAAAAATAAAAGTGAACCCAAGAAAGAATAAGTTATATGCTATGAATGCAAGAAGCCCGGATATTTCAAAAGCGAATGTCCCCTAAGTGAAGATGAAACAATCAAAGAAGAAGGTGCTTGAAGCAACGTGGGATGA